GATGATGATGATGATGATGATGATGATGATGATGATGATGATGATGATGATGATGATGATGATGATGATTGGTATAAAGTGTTCGACAGGGCCACGACCGGGGCCACGAATTTGGTCTCCTCAACTAGGCGTACTCCCCTAGGCGCTGACGCTGGTCCTTCACTGCGCGTAACTCAAATAGAACGCAATGTAGATGGAAACTCTGAGACTTCGCCCATCTGACTTTCTCGCATAAAGGCCATAACCGCCTGTGGACTGTTGAAGGTTTTTCAGCAACCTTAAGAGTAGTGTGTTCCATCAAGAATATAGACATGTGTGACTAGTAATCCGTAGCTGAGACTACGCGAAACGAACATCATAATTGAGTTGCACAGTCTTTGTCTACCCGGAACCCAAAAATCTCTACTTTATGGTCTTCTGAAAGTGCATGAACACAGATACACGATGGGTCTTGATCCAAGCATGGACAGCACTCCGTGACATTATTAAAGGATAGACTTGCGAAGGCGAATTGCCTCCTCAGACGTACTTTTGGGTTGCTGTCTTTGAGTGCAGTTGCTGGTTTTTCCGCTGAGCTGGACAATTTGAATGGAAACGTTTCATCATCATTTGGGGCGACATCATCAATGCGTCGTTTGAGTGAGTAGCGGAGCGAAGCAATGGGTGGATCAAGCACAGAGGACACTCCAGCAATGGCTAGAGTATGAGAGCGCGGAAGTCTAATAATAGAGATCAAGTGCTCACAGAATAACAGATCCCAGAAATTCGAAAGGCTATTAGATGATTCGTTGCGTGGCAATGCTAACGTGGCCCCCTTTCAGATGAGATTCAAGTCAGACCTATTCTGTCGTCACCTTGACAAGAGGGTCAGAAAGTCGGAACAACGTTTGCTTTACAAATTTTGAAACGACTTGAGCGATGCAGAAATTCGTCATACTTTTTTGAACGCCTTGGTCCATTAAACCCCTCTGTTTTGGGTGGTACGTAGGGCGATGGAGGATGACTGGAGCGTTTCGTTACAATCACTTAGAGGGCACCTTCAATGAGGACAACTGTTGGAACCACTGTTTTCGGCAAAAAGCCCAACCGCGCACTGATGATGTTATCTTGATCAGTGATGAAACGTTTGTAAAGGAACTGTTAGGTAGACAGATCAACTGCTCAATCATCAGCAAAACTCCCCGTCGAGAAGAGCTAGTCGGTTGGACTATGCAACATGAAAATCTCTCAAACAAATCCCAGGTTTGAAAGGTAACCGCCGGTTCGACAGTGAAGTCGAACCCGTGCCCACAGTTAAAAATCGGAACACAGATGACGGGTGAATTTAACATAGAACACACATGTCCTTGTAGAATTCCCTAAAGTCGTATGTCGTATACCTGATTACTGGAACTTTTGGAACGAACCTGTTCCATGATCGTTCTTTGGTTGGTTATTGATTACTTGGTTGTTTATATGCGCGCAAAACTTAGCGATTTGCCTACAGACAATTCGTCACCGTTCGTGGAAATATCATCATTGCACAGTCGATGGCACCGCTGATGGCATTCTACCAACATTCGAATACATTGGTGTCCCATATTTGAATGAGTTTGGATGTTGAAGGGATTGAAACCCCTTCCCAAGGAGACTTTTTGCGAGGTTTGCGTGGTGGGAGACTGGCATCAAAATGCGATTTCGTTTCCGCTAAGCAGTTTTTGTTGTGGCTCATGAAAGTTGATGCTGTAGGGCCCGGACTGGCTCCGGTTCACTGTCTTGAAGGTAGTGGGTGCAAAGTATAACCAGCGTTCACTAGCTGGTCTGTCCCATCGTGTGTCGTACAATATCGGATTTCGCGTGTTCTTTAGCTCAAATGTTGGTCACGGACTGAAAAAATGTCAGCTTGAGAGACATCTTTGTGAACGAAAAATACAACATTCTCATAACAGCGATGAGATTCCGAAGGCCTTAGCAACTTTTCAAATCTATTACGTCCCTTAATAACTTTTCACTCGCATGTCCCTCGCGCGTACTGTGCCGTCGATGTGAATGATTTCTCCCACTGGTGTTGAGAGACAACTCAGCTGAAACTCACCTGAATCTCTCCTTCTCAGCTGAAGTGCTGTTAAAAGAGCATCTTATCATCATCATCTGCATCATCATCACCATCGTCATCGTCATCACCATCATCACCATCATCATCATCATCGACAGCATGACATCAGTGTTCAACACCGACGCTTCACCGCCGTACAGCCATGATTTACTTGAAAGCATCTGAAACGCTATTCAGCATAGCGGGGGATGCATCAATATACTAACTCGTATCTCGATAAAAGGTCCAGACAGCTCACTACCAGTTCCATTCTCCTTGAAGGTCATCAGGCTGATTCAAATTAGGGCACTAGACCTGCCTAATGAAGCCCAAGAAGGGCGAAACCAACAGTAGATTTTTCACAGCTCCTTCTGACCTAATAAGTAGTACTGCAACTTCAAGTATCGTCTAAAAAACTGTGCTATTCTTACTATTTTTGGGGACTTCTTGATTTGCAGTTGACAAATCTACACTGTTAGTTTCACTTGTCCGATACGTGGAAGAAGAAAACAGTATCATATACTTACGTTTTCACGGACGGGGGCTGCCAATGAATGGAAAGTACAACATACTACAGCGCAGACGAATGAATACATTTGATGGGGTTCTCGGATTTTATGAATATTTTCTTCTTTATATATATGCCTTGAAGCTACTTTAGACCCGTGTGTGAAAAGATGTGCTGAATCGCATTAAAAGCAAGGTCATGCATTACATAATCGCGCCACCCTGATGGCTCCGTGTGTGTGTATCCCGCTTTCCAGGCCACAGGATACCTCTGGGGCATTAACTGACTCTCTGTGCAGACTGGTCTACATGCAATGGAACATTGCCACGTTTGCACTTGGATGGAACGCCTTAATTCGAGCGAAATAACAACACCTTGCTGTCTTCGTTTTTTCGAAACCTGGATAATGAAACCTTGCCAAGGCGATGGTGAGTGAACTCATTATCATTTCGATCTTCTGTTCAACACGGCCCCGGTGCAAGACAATCTGGCCTAACACATCACACACAGATTGGAGTTCCTGGATTTTACCCTGGTAGTGCGCGCACGTGATGGTAAGCTGATTATCTGCACATGTGCGCAACCCGCTCTGCGTGCTGATGTACTAAGAAAAGTGGCCCGACCTTCTTTTCTGGTCGAAAGTTCGAATAACCTTGTAATCGATATTCTACTTCGCTTGATAGGTGTATTTTTGAAGGATAGTTGATGATCTACTACTGATAATGTTGGGGCCAGCTGTGCTGCCACCACGTGTTAGGTGATTATCAGTGTACTTATAGAACGTATTACTGGAAGGCCATAACCTGACCCCACTCCCCCAGAACTCTGAAGCTCTGTCCGTTGGAGAAGAATGGAGAAGTAAATGGTCTAATCTTCAAAACCGAGCACACACGCATTCAATAAAGTCGGAAACGCGTTTCGACATTCTGAATACACATTTTTCTGATGAGCATCGACTTTTTCAAAGAAAGCATCGGGATTGAAATATTGTTCAGTTGAGTATAATTTTCTGTCCTCAGAAAAGGTGGAATCGTCATTGCATAGAGACTGGATTCATACAGGGCGTTGCACACAGGCACTTATTCACAACAGGATGGTTGCAGGATTTGGTTGAACACATAAGCACATGCCCCTCGTTTGAACAGTCGTCCTCCTGTCCTCGCACAACTGCCCTGGTGAGCGTACAACTCGAGTTTCACTCCTATTAGTGCTCACCAGCAGTGTATATCCAATGGCCGTGACGGGATTTGAACCCCGGAATGTGAGGCGAGCGTGTTACCACTGCTCCACGACGACACGCTGTTGTCTGCGGAAGGCACAGCCACCTGGGATGCCGAACCGAACGTTCACATTTCCCAAAAAAGTGTTAATCGCGCGTTCCTCAAGCAATCAGCGTACAACTCGAGTTTCACTCCTATTAGTGCTCACCAGCAGTGTATATCCAATGGCCGTGCCGGGAGTTGAGCCCCGGAGTGCGAGGCGAGCGTGTTGTCACTGCTCAACGACGACACACTGTTGTTTGCGGAAGGCACAGCCACCTTGGATGCCTTCATATTTCCCAAAAAAGTGTTCATCGCGCGTTCAGATGACCTTCTCCAAGCAATCAAAAACCTATCTCTCTACACCCCATTTAGGATATGGGGATCGAGCGGGTACAAATCTAGTCATGAGTGCTTTCGGTATTCAGCTACTTTCAAGCCTGTTCACATCCATTCCGTATATTAGTTTCTTCTAAAGAAGACCACTGAATCCTTCGCTTCATACCATCATATGACGAAGTGTGTAAAATTCTCCCCGCTTTTGAAGCTGTCATCGTTTTGGGCGGAGATCAGTCGGAAAGACCATCACGATACGATGAAAGCAAAAAGTAAACTTCCCTTGACGTTTGAAAAAACGACTTCATCAGGCGTATTTACTCACCCCTCTGAGCGTTGTTCAGACGTCCAAAACCGAGCAAAACTACGAGTGTATTAATCAACAACTTCGAAATATCCGACCGTTTAGCAACGGACGTCGCACTGTTACCTTCACGAGCGTTTTCACTTATCCGTGGCACTTTTTTGTTCTACTGGGTGTGACGGTGGACGAAAGGCAATCGTCTACGTTGAAATGGAACCCCAGTTTGTTGGATTTTCATCTCGATGGCTGCACAGACTGGGGGGATTTAAGAAAGAAGCCCAATTACGTAGACTAGCGTAGCTTTTCTCTGCGGAACAGGTTTATTTTTCTCGTTTTCTGTGTTGGATTTTGATTGTTTGCCACTCAGAAAAACCTGGATTCAGAAGGCGGGACGCTGGGCACAACTCCTCGAGAGATACCCTTAAGGATGGGTAACTTCTTCCAGTTATACACAATGAAGACGCTGGATTACATTCAGTGAACTCAGTTCATCAAATTCCATTGACAAGTTCACAAACAGCTTTGTTTGGAGTGAATATGTTCATTTCGTTGAGTAGGTTATCCACGATGCAAGTCATCAACAGGCAAAGGAAGTACAAAAAAGAAGTCGATAGAAAGAAAAAAGGTAGATGTAGATAGTTAGTTAGTTAGATAGATAGATAGATAGATAGATAGATAGATAGATA